ATTTTTTACGAATGCATCTCGTTACACGTCACTACGAACTTAAACTTTCTTCCCGTTAACCGCACAGCATAAAAGATTCATTCATATATAACAGGATTCGTTCAACACACTCGCCAATGTATACATAGAAAACTTACATTCTCGCAAGGAGAAAATTATATGCAAACTTGTCGTGTTTGGGTGCACCGGGGAAAAAAATCGATATGACCTTCGTGATATGCAGAAGTGGAATAAAAGCTTTTTCTGCGTAACGTTCCGGTAGTCATAAAAGTTTTTTTTTTTTATATAAGACTTCGGAAATTTGCGATCGAAATTTGCAGATTCACTGTCAACAATTTTTTTTATATTTTTTGAAACTTAAAATTAATATCCTTTAGGAGAGAACTCTTAAAAAGATTGGTTAATATTATACAATTTGTTGAAAAGAAAACTTTTTGACTTAATATTTTAAATAAGGTATAAAGATGTACGTGAAAATTTAACATACAAATACTCTGAAAAATAAAAATAAGAATAAGACAATTTTTCGTTTATTCATTGCAAAAACCGAGTCATTTATTTCAATCTTGTATTACTTTTAATTCTGATAAAAAATTTTTTGTTCAAGTTACATTAGTTAAATATAACTATTAACAACTATCAGTTATATTTAATTAATGTATTTATATACATATATATAAAGATATTTAGCTAAAAATCTGTTTTTGAAGTTAAATGTATGTAAAAATGCGATCATTATGAATCAATATACAAAGTTATTACATAGTTTAACAGAATAAAATATTAGAAATAGCAAAATGATTGGAATTAATGTATTTGTTTCCAAAAAACCTACTTTTTTAAAAATATTAATTAAACTGAAAATATGTTTAATAAACAACTTAAGAATAAATTATTTTTCACAAATCTTAATAATTATTATTCAATTAAGTAATTAAAACAAATTTTAAAATAAAAAACAAAAATTATTGAAAAAGTAAATATCTACCTTTTATATTCTTTTACTTCTTGACTTACCACAAATACCACTTATTGACTTACCACAAATTCACCGCTGTTGATTATAGATGAAATTACACGTTGATTTTTTTGCAAAGCATCGTTATGTTCCGACATCGAAATAATTTTAACACCGCTAAAAATAATTTTTAATGTTAAGATTTATCTTTATTTAAATCACTCTTTGATGAGTATCAAAGGAACGATAATAATTTGTTGGTCGTTCTATATTTACCACAATTTTGTATTATTGGAAATATCGCGGTGTTAAAATAACTCTAACTTCCTCCATTCATCTCGCGAGTAGAATCTTCCTCGGACGTCACTCGCACAAGCCGGTTGTCACATTCGCGCGATTTCCATACCGCTACCTACGAGTTCACGACAATATCTGGCACGCTGTTAGAACTTGTGTTTCGAACGAGCCAAACTTGGCAAGCCAAAAATAAACCGCGCGGACGTCGATAAATTTTCTACTACTAAGCATAAAACCTTGACCGCTATTTCATTTAATAACAGAAAATTCTGTGACAAATTTTTGATAAAATAATAGTAAAATAATAGTAAATCACGACAGAAGTAAAGAAATATTTTTGTTGTTATTAATAATATAGAATAATTAATTAATACAAATTTAAGAAATGATAATGCAAAAGACAAAATCATTATTGTTATTATGTGTGATAGAAGTTTTATGAGCTTTATAATTTGTCAGCTACAACGTAATGTTAACGAAAAATCCACGGTGTTAATACAACATATTTTAAAAAAATGAAAAAATATTGTATAATCTTCAGATGACAAGATCTTCAAATTTTTATTTAATTTTAATAAAAAAATTAAAATATTTGCTTTGTCAAATTAAATAAATTCTTTGCACATGTTTTTCTTGTTTGACACGGTTACACAAGATATTCTGTATGAAATCCGAATATCTTTCGAAGATGCTAAGATATTTTACATTCAACCAATGCCAATTGTGTCTATTAATGATCGATCGGCTTACATTTTCACGAACGTTGTGACACTAATGACTACAGTTATATCAATCATGCAATTATTTGTCTACCTTGATGTCGCAGAACTCCAGATATTACGATACCAGATACGACCAGATATTTCTCGTATTCTAAATATTCGCGTTAAAATATGACTCATGATCTTCTCGAACAGAAATTTGTCCGCACAATGATAAATTATCGACCGCAATGCAATGATAAAGTGGTTTAAATTATGTATACTGCTTATTAATGACCTCAAGATATGTATCAGGCATTTCATTGTGCTCGATATTAGCGTAGACTTGTCGAGTCGGTGATAATCGTTGCATTAACAAACGAAGACAATAGCGCGGGACAATTAAATTAATATAATTCTCTCATTTGTAAACGAGAAGATGTCGATACCGTTCATTAATACCGTTCATTAATAATCGTCAAAGCAATAGCATCGCCTTTGAATCACAGGCGATTGTGGCAGTAATTATCCATTCTGAATGTGAGTTTACGTTTATTAACACAGATCGACGGGAGATACAAATTATAATTTAATATTTTTATTTACATTATAAAATACTATACACGTACAGAAATCTCGAGATCTCGGATTTTTAGCGAGAGGCATTTCTAGGTGAACGTTCCTGGCGACCGGAAGATATTGCCGATACGCGTGTTATCACAATAAACCTGTCGGCTGAAAATTTCCCATTCAGAACGTGTGATCTTCATTCGCATTCCATGCGCGGCGCATCGCATTTGAGATAACTGAAAAATTTGATTCGCTATGTACATTGTACTACATACTATACGCGTACGTGAGCAACAGTGACGAATCTCTGCAGCTGCAGCGACGCGATCAACTTATGTAAAATGCATTGAGTAGTAATTCTGCATTGTTTCGAGTACATATTTGTCTCTTATCCGTCCCTTATCTATCTCTCCTAATACGGGCTGCCACGGGCTTCCGCGGGATCGGAATGGCGTGTCTGAAAATAACAGTATCTCTTCCTTTTTTCCTCGAAGGACACATCTCACACGGAACAGACAAGGGTTTCGAAACCTCGCAACGTTTCCAAACTCACGACTCACAATCCTTTTCCTACTATCAAATACAATCGTGGTAAAAATATATATCGCAATAAAAAAATTGTAGCCTCGCGTTAACGCTACGTGATCGCGAGTAGGAGTGTTCTATCTATTTACTCGAAATCCAAGTCAGATTTCAAAAACGTCACATGTATAGAATTTGTATAGAATTTGAGCTACGGTAAAGAAAATTGAAAAGGTAGTCTGAATAGTAGGAATAGAACGGCCAATTAGAGCGTTTCGGTTAAGTAACACTGGTCTGGTTAAGTTCTAATTGACGTTTCTACTTCTCTACTGTCAATATTTATTATTAATTGCAACAATCTTCCCTTCTTCCAATTGACCAACGCTCCATTGTCTTTTCATCAAACTACATTGACGACTGTCATTGATGATTGAGTATGGATGTGTGAGTAAGTTTGATTTTGATGGCTCCCGATATCACACAATTCTGAACGATAGAGAAAGAGAGAGAGAGAGAGAGAGAGAGAGAGAGAGAGAGAGAGAGAGGAGAGAGAAG